ATCATCTGAGTGTAACAAAAAATAATCTACACATATTGGTTCGGTATCCAGTGTTTATTTCAGCTCCATTAGACGTTCATCACTCAGATCCTTTGAGGTACTAATTGTGCTTCAATCCTGGCTCTATCACTAATTTATTCGCCTCCCTAAGACTCAGTTCCCCCATAAAAGAATGGGAACAACAGCACCTAACTCCTAGGGTTATTTTAATGATAACCTGGGATAAGCTATATAAAGCTATCAGGAGACTACTTGCTAGAAAGCAAGTGCCTCAAAGTCAGTTCTCAGAATTGCTGCAATTATTTGTTGTCATTGGAAATCATACAATGGAGCCTCTCAGAACTATGTATCAATTGAGAGATCACCTCCAAGTCAGGCACACTGGCACACGGACTTTGTAACACCCATTTTGATTGCTCAAAGGTCTTTTTGGTTTTGCTTACTTCCTGGATCTCAGTTAGACAGGTGAGGCCTGCAGACAGCAGAGTTAGATAGAAATGAAGTGTGACTCTAGACGTCAACATTTTAAGAAAGAAATCAGGTAAACAGAGTCTCTGCCACCCAGATCCTTCAGGATTGTCTTTTACTGCCTCTGAAAATATTAAGTTCTTGATTTCAACAAAAGTTATTTCGCCGAGCATTAAAAATAAGTTTAAGGAATTTTTTTAAAAGTTAAAGCCTGGGCAACATGGTGAAACCTTGTGTCTACAAAAAAAATAGCAAAAAAGAAAAAAATTAGCCAGGTGTGGTGGTGCATGCCTAGAGTCCCAGCTATTCAGGTGGCTGAGGCAGGAGGATTATTTGAGCCAGGAGAGGCAGAGGCTGCAGTGAACAGTGATCGCACCACTGCACTCCAACCTGGGTGACAGAGCGAGACCCTGTTTCAAAAAAAAAAAAAAAAAGAAGTGAAAAGCTTGCGATTATTATGCCTTTAAAATTAATGAAATGTAAAGTCCACAACCATTATCTAGGAAAGACTCGCTTCACTGCCTACCAGCAGTGCCTGCATGAAATCTGTACTCCTGAACAGGGCAGCAGCCAACTCACTGGTGACGTGGAGTGAGGAACGGCAGCAGCCCAGAGGAGAGACCTCCGCGGTCCCCGGGTGCCGCAATTTTAAGAGAACCCGTCATTAGATGAAGGCACTTGGAGTTTGACAAACCAGATAGTTTTTCCCAAAGCAGAGTTAATTATGCCAAGAAAATCACTTTAGACCTCCCCGCAAGCTCCTTCCCTGGCAGGTGTGATCCTGGATCCAAGGGCTTGGGTGAAGCCCACACAACTCTAAGGACATGCCTGATCCGACCCCACTGCACCACACCTAGAGCCCAAGCCTTGCACGGGCAGGGTGGGGAGCCAGATGACCTCTCCCCGCGCCCGCCCCACCTCCCGAGCTGGCTGGGCTGCCACGTCAGGCCCAGTCAGCAGCGATCCTGCCCATTCTCCTCCCGCCCGTGCCATTGATACGCGGGTTCCTTGCACCCCTGGCAGCCCCAAGCGGGACCCCGGCCAGAGAAGCGCCCCCATTCAAGCCCACGGAGGGGCCACGCCTGCCGGAACCTCCCACCCACGCCAACTTTTCAGACAGAGCAGGGCCCCGCGCAGCCGGGTGCGCCCCGACGGCTCAAGTTCGCGCCGGGATCGGGTGCAGAGCGGGGCCCCGCGCTGCGACACCTGGCCCCGCGGCGCCCACACCGAGGGCCCGCAGACTGCTGCCCCTCGGGTCCGGGCACCCGCTAGGCCGTCCGAGGAGGTGTGTCTGGCCGGCGCAGGCCCCGCGGGCCGTGAGGCGGCCGAGGTCAGCGGGTCCTCTGCCAGACCCGGCCCCCGCACCCGAGCCTCTCGGGGCCTTCCCCGGCCGCTCACCCGCGCAGGAACGCGTCTTCCAGATCTTCAGCAGCAGGATGACGATGGCCGCCAGGTGGGACAGGTCCCCGGTCAGCCGGAATATGTTCATGGCGGCGGTCGGCGCAGCGCGGCGGCCCCGGAGCTCGGCGGCTCAGGGAGCAGCAGCCCCTGAGAGGAAGCGGCGAAGATGGCGAGAGCGGCCGCGACGTGGCCAGGGACGTGGCCGAACTGTCGGCGCGCGCGCGCGGGGCAGCCTGGGAAAGCGGTGCCAGACCCCGCCCCTGCCCCGCCCCTTAAAGGGGACGAGCGCAGGCCCGGCCAGGCCTCAGGGACTCCCTTGCCAGAAGACCCCTGACTCTCTGCCAGCTTTTCCCTGCCGGCTTTCCGGCTTCTCCTCGGATGCCAGCAGTTTCCTTTACTTTTTGAAATAACACTCCCGGGGATTTTTTTTCCCTCCCACATATCAAAAGAGCTCTACAGGCTTTTTTTTTTTTTTTTT